TGTATAATAAGCTTTTACCTGGTGTTAGGTTTGTTTTTATTAAAAACGTTGTTGATGTAACAGTTTGTTTGTTGTTAAGCACAAAGCTGCACAATGAGCTATCTGTGCTCTGCCCACCATGGGTATCGAAACCCTGTTTCTAGCATTGTAATCCCGCAGACATTTCGCTGTACCACTGGATGGCAATATAACAGATAATAGCTTAATTCAGAAATAATTTAAGTTTAAAATTGAATCGATATTTTTACATTCATGATAAATTTTATGCACTTGGCTCTAGGCTAGGTGATCCCACACTACGTATTTACTTTAGGCTTATTATACCAACATTCACTACACTTATAAGGTTTCACCTCCTTCACTAAAATCGTAATGGGCAGACAATTATCGAACTATTCTATCTGAATAAATGCATTTTGGCTTTTATGACTCCTCCTATTTCGAGAAATCAAGCGTGATGTGACATGACACACGCGGGCTTTTATATGGTTTAGATTCTGTTGTAAATATGCAGGTCTAGTTTTTCGCTCTTGCAAGGACATTTGTTACTATAAAACTAACCTAATTGCCCTGGTCTATGTTCCTGAAATATATATGCACCCACATTTGGATTAAGAAAAATAGCAAACTGTGCATTTTAAAACAATGGTTGTGTAGCTTTTCGCGAAATTCTGAGGCAAACAAACGAACATAATATGATATCGTGTAATTTCTTACTGTAGCCATGTCACAAATACGATGACTAAGTGATTTAGAAAAATTAAATAACATTTTATGAAATAAATGAAAGGTCGTATAACAATACTTAGGTATAAAGTTTATCGTTATTAGAAAGATACAAGTTAAAAAAGAGACATTTTCGTTTTAAGTTGAATATAATATTTCTTGTTAAGTACGGTTCTGATCGCTCGTTCTGATGAACTTAAAAAAATAACAGTACGTTACAAAAAAAAATGTATATTCCAACTAAGGAAAAATCTCTTGAGATAGACTTCGAATTAATATACTTTGAAATTCAACTAAAACTGAAAAAAAAATGTTTACTGATAGTCAATTTCCACGCATGCGTTTAGATTGAGGGCTGTCAAGAACCATCGCCTAGCGCTTTCAACAAGATGAACACCTTTTATGACGTATTTAACGCCTGCTTTATGCTCTGTTATCTAGCGTGCCGAAAACATTTATACTGCAAATATGATTGTCTCAGAAGATGACCGATGTTATTGCTGTTCGGAATGTAATAATGTAAGAATAAATTTCTTGATGGAGAAGCAAAGAGCAGCTGTGTAACCGAGAGAGCGCGGAACCTTTGACGCTCATCCCCCAGCGTATCAGCACCATGGCCTCAAGCACAGCGTTAGCTGTTAGCAAAGCTTTTGTGTCTTTACAAACTTATAAGGCAGCATATGCTGGGGCTAATTTGATTTTCTCTTTCAGCCGGGGGTTGACGTGTACAACAAGCGAGCTACGTTATCTGTTATATTGAAAGTTTGACTTTTTTTTTTCGGGGTACTTGAAGTTTTTTTTTTTGTCTAAAATTTTGAAAGCTTAAAGAAAAAATTATAAAGTTATACAAGTATTTTTTTTCCTTTTCGCAATAGTTCACAAAAAGTAATTCAGGTGCTGATTTTTGTTTTTTATAGATTGGTTAAAAAGTTACCAAATTAAGTTATATAGCGCAGACTGTTATATTAATCAATGGGGAAGGAGTGCTATTGTAAGTATCGCTTTATGCAGATATTAGGCACATTTTACCATAAGTTATAATTGTTGTGAATGTATGCATTTAATTCAACCTCTTTTATTGTTATCGTTGATCAGTTAAACTGCTAGAAATGTCCACATACACTGCTAAACATTTAAAGCGTGATCGGATTTCTTAATATTATAGCTATGACGAGATAAAATCACTGTTGCAGATTGATGCCAATCACCCCCCCCCCCTTCAGTTAATTTTTATGCAAATCAGACTGCGATAGATATGGTGTTTTTTACATATTTTACTTCAAATTGGAGCATTGTCACCAAGAGCAGTGAGATAGACACTGATGTTGTATGCTCAAAATGAGACTGTTGATCAGGTTCTCAGTTGCCCCCCAGTGGCACAGCGGTATGTCTGCGGACTTACAACGCTAGAATCCGGGTTTCGATACCCGTGATGGGCAGAACACAGATAGCCCATTGTGTAGCTTTGCGCTTAACTTCAAACAAACAAACAAGGTTCTCAGTTAATTTCTATTGAAGTCAGATGAGCATGAAGGCCAATCCATTCGGATAATCTGTTTTTCTTCAAAGAATGTATCGACCATCTTAGCTCGGTGGAAGTGGGTATTATCACCCTTTAGTCTGAGGTCAGATCATTTGGACCGCATATGGTGGCCCAGAATGTCATAGAATATGATTCCTATAATATGTGCCATTAATGAGACCATTCAATAGGGTTATAGGAGTAAGTGCTTGTATCCTCTCACATCGTACTTCATAACGTTACTGTAAGAAAATTAATTGAATTAGGCTTTAGGTTTTTCCTTGAGTGAGTATAAGCTCGTTATTTGTGTGCTGAATGAAACGTAACGTATCTTAGTGGGCATCTGGCAAAAAGGTAAATATTGTGAAGTTTAATTATAACCATTCAGTTACGACTGCGTACACATGAATCAGTCTGTGAGCAGATTCGCTACGACTGTGGCGAGCCATAGTAGACAAAAAGCGTCTACTTTATTTATGTGTCCGAACAAACTTACCATTGGCATCATTGCTAACAACACGTGGAGTCAATTCTCAAAATCTTGTTGTGATCGACAGTCTTCCATTTGTCCCATGGTGAAGCATCCCAATGTCTTCTCAGTAGTTGAGACACTGATTATGAATAATCTGGGGTATTTTTAACTCTAATTAACTTCAAAGTGAGAAATGAGACAACTATATAAATATATATATAATATTTCAAATCCCAGTAATCCTTTAATTGTTATGATAAATATAGTTACGGCAAGTCTTCTGCAAATATTGGTGTAAATATTGTGTAAAAACCAATCCTCAAAATGTTGTCGTCTCAAAACTTACACATTAATTCTTTAGTTAAAACTAAAAAAAACAAGACAAGAAAAAACGCTTATTATACACATATGACACACTGTTATTAATCCCAGGAAAAGGCTTAATATACATTACATGGCAACTATTAGTAGCACCGGGTAAAACTAAGTGTACAGTATATGACAGACTACTAGTAGCACCAGGTAAAACTAATTATACAGTATATGACAGTCTATTAGTAGCACCGGGTAAAACTAATTATACAGTATATGACAGACTA